GGGATCCTCATCCGTCTGGCCCCCCAGCTGTCCTCACCCGCTCTGGGACAGGGAGGGTGTCTCCGCTCACTCCACTGCCGAGTCTGTAATTAGGTTTTATGGGTGCATAGCCACGCTCCTTTACATCGTCTGTGGTGGAGCTGAGGACAGCAGCAGAGATTAAACGGCCCAAACGGCTGAAAATATTTACTGTCTGGTCCTTGACAGGTCAAGTTGGCTGCTGCCTGCTCCAGGGAGCACTGAGAAGCTGTGTGCACACTGGCTGGGAGCGCAGACCTGGGGCCCGTCTACTTGGCCACTCGGCCACTCACTGTGTGGCCTTGCGCGAGATGCCTAACCTGTCTGAGCGCCTTTGCTTATCTGAGCCAATGTGGGCAGTGACGGCAGATGTAGCACAGGGTGCTGTGAGTGCTGCGTGGGAAGCGCAGGAACAGAGCCTGGCCCTGGGAGGTTGTTCCTCACGGTCTGACCTCCCAGCCCCATCCCGGTCTCAGCAGGGTGGTGCTGGGCCTGGCTGCCCGTGGAAACTCCGTGTTCCTAACTCGGATGCTCAGGGGCCTTGATCCCCTGGGAGCAAGACGGATGGGGTGGTTTTCTACTCATCCTGCTGCTCCCACTCACCCCGAGTGCTGCACTCCCTGTGGAGTTGTCACTGGCGATTCTGGCCACTCGTCCTCTGGCCTCAGAGCTTCCACAGGACAGATGAGCAGGCCCGCCCCCGGTGTCAGGCCGCGTCCAGGAGCAGGGCAGGCACCTTTGTGGTGGCTGTGGCGTGACTAACACTCCTCCGGCCAAGCTTGTTTCCCTTTCGCTGCCCCATTCAGCCAGTGGGCCTGCCCCATCACTGCTGGGAGGAGCAGCACCTCCCACCCGCAGCCCCCTTCGTGGTCGCCGCAGTTACAGCGTCATGCCAGCTGCCAGCCCCTGTCCTGCTTCCTGCCCCCTGCCTCTCCGGGCCCTGTGCACGCAGCCCCCTAATCCACCGGCTGAGGTGACAGGTGGTGCTTTCTGGATTGGTTTCTGGAGGCAGAGCTCAGAGACCAATTCTGCTTCTTCCATGCTCACCCGCTGATAAAGGGGGGACTTGAGAGGATGGTGCCAGCCTTTGAGTCTGCTAGGAGCTTGCCTGATGGACAGGGCTGCGCCATTCCTGAGTCCAGGCCCCGTGGGCTCTGGGCCCTTTCACTGGGGTGGGGGGGAAGCTCTCTGCCTCCTGGGGGGGACAGGAGTCAGGCTGTGCCTGCCAGCGCTGTTCCACCTGGCAAGCCTGAGCCCCAGGTGCAGCGATCAGCTGGCAGGGGTGGTGGGGGAGGGAAGAGGGGGAGCAGCATGTGCAAAGGCCCGGAGCCCTGCCCACTGAGGACCTGCCCGTTGAGTGTGGCCATGGGAAAGGGCTGGAGAGAGGAGGGGCTGATGAATGTGGGTCCTTGACCGCCAGTGCCAGAGCTTGGACTTCTGAGGCTTTTAAAAGGGGTAGGAGCCTGGTCCAGCTTTCTTGTGGTTTGTCAAGTATTCACCAAGCGCCTCCTGTGTGCCAGGGACTGGCCCCTGAGGGTATAGCTGTGACATACAAAACTCGGGCTCCTTGGGCTTTGGTTGTCCCACCCGTGATGGGACAGGTCAAGTGGCCTCCAGCCCCAGCTTCCCTGGCCCAAGCCTGGGCCCTCTGGATGCAGCCAAGCTTCGCTTGGCCACAGGTCCTTGTGGTCGCCTGCCTGGCGCCAGGTTGCAGGGGGTGCCTAGGGCAACTGGTCAGGTTGCCAGGCTGCTCTGTAAACAGGCCATCCCTGGTCTGCTCGCTGCCGCACAAGAGCAACCAACAGATCGGCTCTCTTTCCTGGCCCAAGAGTGGGCCCGGGTACCACCTCAAGGTTTGAGGTCCCTTCCTGAGACCCACTTATAGCTGGGTTTGGGAGCATCCTGTCTTGGGTCCCCTGTGGGTGTGGCGTGGCTGTGAGCCTGGGGCTGGCCTGCCACTATGGTTTTCCCTCTTGCCTGCTGTCAGGAGGCTGGCTGTGCCCTGCTTCCCCCACCCCAGGAAGGTGGCACTGGCTCCTGAGGTGTGAGGCCATCTGGCAGAACCCAGGCTGGGGCCCCAGGGGCTCTCCTCCAGGCTTAGGACTGAGACTACATGAGGGGAGACCAGGGGGCCCAGCAATCACCCTTCATGCTGAGATTCACCCACTGCGGACATTTTTCTTTTTCTATTGAGGTAAAATTCACATAACATAAAACAAACCACTTTGAAGCATACAATTTAGTGGCGTTTAGTACATGCACTGTGCAGGTAACCATCACCTCTATTTGCAAAACATTTTTATCATCCAAAAAAAAACTTTGTATCCATTAAACCGCGGTTCCCCATTCTCCTGCCCTCAGCCTCTGGGAGTCACCAGTTTGCTTTGTGGCTTTACTGGTTCTGGATATTCCATACAAATGGGATTGTACCCCTGTGACCCCCGTGCCTGGCCCCCGTCACTTAGCATGTTCATCCCTGTGGTGGCGTGTGTCAGGACTTCATTTCTTTTTATGGCCGAATAATACTCCGTTGTATGGATGGACTATATTTTGTTTATCCAGTCATTAGTTGATGGACATCTGAATTGTTTCTACTTTTTGGCTCTTGTGAGTGGTCCCACTTTGAGTATTTGCATACAAGTATTCGTTTGAATACCTCCTTTCAGTTCTTTTGGGTTTGTACCTAGGAGTGGGATTGCTGACTCAAGTGGTAATTCTGTGTTTAACTTTTTGAAGAACCGCTGAACCATTTTCCACAGCGGCTGTACCATTTTAAGTTCCCGCCAGTAGGGTTATGAGGGTTTCAATTTCTCGCCAACATTTGTTGTTTTCCCCTTTCTTGTTTTAAATTATAGCCATCCTGCTAGGCATCTAACTGTGGTTTTGATTTGCATTTCCCCAATGACTAATGATGGCAAGCATCTTTTCATGTGCTGGCTATTTGCATATCTTTGTAGAAACATCTCTTCAAGTCTTTTGCCCATTTTTGAATTGGAATATCTTTTTGCTAAGAGTTCTTTATATATTCTGGACAATAGGTCCTTATCAGATACATGACTTGTAAATATTTTCTCCCATTCTGTAGATTGTCTTTTCACTTTTTTGATACTGTCCAACAATATAAAAAGCTTTTGATGAAAGCCAGTTTATATAGTTATTCTTTAGATACTCTTGCTTTTGGTGTCATATCTAGGAATCCACTGCCAAATCCAAGGTCTTAGAGATTTACTCCCTCTGTTGTGAATTTCTTCTAGGCATTTTATACTTTTTGCTCTTATATTTAGGTCACTGATCCATTTGAGTCTGGTTTTGTATATGGTGTGAGGTAAGGGTCTAGCCTCATTCTTTTGCTCGGAGAGACCCAGTTGTCCCAGCACCATTTGTTGAAGAGACTATTTTCTCCCCCTTGAATGTTCTTGGCACCTTTGTTAAAAATCAACTGACTATAAATGTAGGGTTTACTCTGGACTCTAATTCTACTGATCTATATGTCTCTCCATTTGCCGGTACTATCCTGTTTTGATTATTGTACCTTGATAGTAAGTTTTGAGATCAGGGAGTGTGAGTCTTTCAGCTTTGTTCTTTTTCAAAATTGTTTTGGCTGTCATGGGGTGATTGGGAACATTTTGTCACATTTGTACTCATGCTTCTCTGTAAATATATTTTGTTGTTGCTGTGTATTTGATGAGCTACTCAAAAGCAAGTTGCAGACATCACAGGGATTCACTCTACTTCCATATGCGTCTTTGAGTAATACGAGCATTCTCCAGAGTAATGCTGTTGTCCCATCCAGATCATTTTAAGTTGTAGCACCTGCAGTTCACACGTTTCCCCAGTTGTCCTTTGTAGCTTTTCAACGGTTTTCATTAGGCCACAGTCCAGGATCACACCTGGCATTTGATGGTCATGCCTCTTTAGTCTCCTTCACTCTAGAATTGTTCCCAGCAATTATTATCTTTCCTGACTTTGGCCGTTTGGAGGCGATCGGGGAGGTTGTCTTGCAGACTGCCCCGTGATCAGGTACTGTCTGTGGTACCCTCGTGATTTGATCAGGGTGTCCGTCCTACCGCCCCACATCTGGGCCACAGTGTCAGCTCGGTTTGTCCTGTTCCTGATGATGCTACAGTTCACGGTTCCCCTGCGGTGGGCCCCCCGTGCTGAGTGAGTGATTGGTATCAGTGGTAGAGACAGGACGGGGAGGCAGTGCTTCCTGCGTTTGTCTGCTGGGCCCTGCGCCTGCCCCACCATTAGTCCCACTTGACAAATGAGAGCCCCGGGGACTCTCTCAGTGACGTGGGCAAGGCCTGGATGCCGGCCTGGCTTTCCAGCTTCTGTGGCCACACTCACAGGATTGGCAAGAAGGAGAGGGCTCAGCCGGAGGAGGCAGAGGTGCCCCTCAGTACCTCTTTCTTGCCCCCACTCACTCCCAGTCAGCTCTGAAGGCCGACGATACCCCCATGTGACATTGAAGGGCTGATGAATGCAGGTGCTGCCATGGGCCCTGCCTGTCCGGCCGTGCTGAGGACCAGCTGGTAGCTGATCAGCATCCCCAGCGGGGACACAGGATGCAGCCTGTCCAGTGGGAGAGGACAGCTGTCCATAGGGTGACCAGGGCTGAGGTGGGGGCTGCCAGGCACGGTGGGGCCGGGGGCACCTCTGCCAGGACATTCCCTCGTGGAGCAGGTCCTGGTGCCAGAGCCCGAGTTGCTCAGTGGAGACTGAGGTGGGGAGGCACCAGTGAGAACAGGGTAAGTCTGGCGGGGTCAGAGGGTCACAGGAACCCAGTGGGGCCCCCGAGGCCCAGCTGCAGGAGTTGGGCCTTTGTTCCCCAGCCCTTCTGCGTCACCTGGAGGAATCTGGGGGGCTGTGAGCAGGGAGGGCAAGGATGGCGGGGGCAGGACTTGAACAAAGGCAGCCAACAGGGAGCCTTGCTGAGCTGGCCAGGGACCTGTCGGCTCACACCAGCCTCCCTCCTCTCATAGACGAAGATGTCTGCGTGTTCAAGTGCTCGGTGTCCCGTGAGACGGAGTGTAGCCGTGTGGGCAAGCAGTCTTTCATCATCACCCTGGGCTGCAACAGTGTCCTCATCCAGTTCGCCACACCCAGTGGTACGTGTCCCTTCCGTCCCAGCTGCACATGGCACACCCGGAGCCCGGTTAAATCCTAGGCTGTCCATCCGACCCGGCAGATACTCCACTGACATCACAAATCAAATCCCCACATAGAACTGTGTCCGTGGAGAGAGTACGTCCTCGTGCCTGGACGCTCCACCCCAGACCTTGCCGGCTCCATGGGGTCCTTCTGGGCTCAGCTCATGTGTCCCCTCCTCAGAGAGGCCTGGCCTGTCCTGTCCTCCCGGCCACGCCCTCCCCCCCGGGAGGAGGCTGTGAGGAGGGGCCCAGGGCACAGCCCTCCCACAGAAGTGGATGGGGGAGACGAGAGCCTGGGGCCAGCGGAGGCTTTGTTCAAGTGCAGAGAGGGTTCTAAGCAGCCCTGTCTGGGGAGCCCACAAGGTCGCTGAGCAGGGCTAATGGGGCCCCAGGCGAGTGCTGCTGGTGGCTCCGGCTCGGGGTCCGCAGGGGAGGTGGTGAGCTGTTTGGGGCTGGAGACCCCTCGAAGGGCCAGCAACCAGGCCTGGTCCCCACAGAGCTACGGTCAGTGGGCCTGGTGGTCGGTGCCGGGGCTCGGGTGGGATAGCCGAGGGTGGAGAGGCCGCCTGCCCCTCAGAGCCCTCATACCCATCTCAGTGCCCCCGGTGGTGGGAGGGGACTCCCCACGGCCCAGACCCTCAGGGCCACCTGCCCTCACACGGTGTGGCTTCAGAGCTGGGAGAAGGCCAGGTGGGGAGAAGGCAACCAGAGTGCTGACCGCCTCCCGCTGGAAGCATCCCTTCACTCCAGCTCCACCCTCTGTTTCCTTCTTTCTGTACGTAATTAACCCAAATTGTGTTTAAAAAAATAAGTTACAGAAACACCTCCGAGGTTATCGCTAAGAGCTGATGTTATAAATCCCTCTAGTCTTTTTCTGCTCTTTGCATCTTTGTATTCTTTTCCCTTTCAACCCTATCAGTTTTTTAAATTGTGGTAAAGTGTACACAGCAGGCTGTCCCCATGGTAACCGTGTTCAGTGTACATTTCCGTGGCATTAGTGTATTCACATCATGCAACTATCACGACCATCCATCTCCAGAACTTTTTTGTAACTTCCCAAACTGTATGTTAAGACATTATCTTTTAATTAATTGTGTTAAAATACACATAATGTAAAATTTACCATCAACCATCTTTAAGTGTGTGGCTCCAGGGGCATTACACACATTCACACTGTTGTGCAGCTGTCCCCACCATCATCTCCAGAACTTTCTTGTCTTCCCAAACAGAAACTCTGTCCCCATGAAACGCTGACTCCCCACCCCCTCTCTTGGCACCCACCACCATATCTGGCTTCATGGTTTTGTTCTGCCTTTTTTCTTTATACAGTTCCGTGGTCATCATTCTGTGTTAATAAATGTAGTTCATTTGCTGTGTTAACATCTAGTCCTGCAGACCCCTGGCAGCTGGTTCTCTGACCTGCTTCTCTGTGTCCTCTGGGGTCCATCCAGTCCCTCTTACTGGATATTGAGGTGGTGGTGTCCCTGTGTCCACTTGCCACCCACGGACAGTGATGTGAGCTGAGGGTGGACTTAAGGTTATTTGCTGGGGTGAATCCTAGGGATTTGACGCCGGCTTGGTGGGCACATGCCCTTTAAAGGCTTTGGTGGAACTGCCCTTTGGTGAAGCAGTGCACAGGGTCCCCCCTGCCCCCCACCAGCCGCGCGGAACACGTGTGGGAGGCCTGCCTTTTCCGGTGTCAGCCACCAAGTGGCAGGCTTGGCTGCCCTTCTTCGTTTCCTTAGACTTCAACATTTTTTGAGGCGGGAGAAAGAAATTGCCAAATCATTTGTGCTCAAGGTGAAAAAGTCGGGGTGCACACCTAGACAGACCCCACCACCACCCCTGAGACGGCCACGCATGACCTGGCTTCCCCCTTCCAGATTTCTGTTCCTTCTATAACATCCTGAAAACCTGCCGGGGCCACACCCTGGAGCGGTCCGTGTTCAGCGAGCGCACGGAGGAGTCCTCTGCTGTGCAGTATTTCCAGGTGGGTATGTCCCGCCCGGGCCAGGCCACCCCTGGTGGCCCCCCAGAGGCCGCGCAGCACAGGGCAAGCCCACCCGGGTTCACGTCCTGGCTCTGCCCTTTACTTGCTGAGTAACTTCGGGCGGGCTTCCTCCTTACTGGGCCTCAGTTTCCTCATCTGTGGAACAGAGATGCCAGTGTCTGCCTAGGAGGGTTGCTGGAAGGATTTGAGTGCAGGTGAAGCTCAGGGCCACAGGCATTTTGAGTAGTGATAGCACAGTTTCGGTGTCCCAGACATGTAGGGCCTGCCAGGCACTAGTCCAAGCACTTTTACACATACGGAAGCACTTGAACCCTCCCAACAACTCTAGGAGGTAAGTGCTATTGTTGTCCCATTTTACAGATGAGAAAACTGAGGCTCAGAGAGGTTAAGTGACTTGCTCCAAGTCACACAGCTATTTTGCAACAGAGCCAAGATGGGAAGCCAGGTCTGCCTGATGCCAAAGCCTGTGCCCCTGCCCAGGTGCCACGCTGCCTCCTGATCGCCTGTTGTCTTACAGAGAGACCCCGCAGCACCTCACCCGCTGGCGCTCTGAGTTCTAGGGTTCTCTTCGATCTGCTTCTCTGCTTCTTTGGGGCCCCTAAGCTGGGGCAGGTGGCCCTCGATCCCAGAACTCCGCCTGTGGCATATCTTGAGTTCTCCTGGGTGGCTTCCAGGTCAAGGCATCATCCAGCTGTGTCCTTTGGCCACCGTGATGTGATGGTGGTGGTGTCCCTTCTGGGGGATGCCTCCTCTAGCTTCCCGCTCCCTTTCCCGGAGCAGCTGGCCATGGAGTCCAGGCCGGCAGAGGGGTGCGGCCTCCCCGGGGAGATCTCCACCCGAAGGGGCCCCTCTTGTCGCAGGGTCCACCAGGGCCTCGGCCATCTGTGCGCCGCGTGCCCTGTGCCATTGGTCTGTCTCTGTTCCAGTTTTATGGCTACCTGTCCCAGCAGCAGAACATGATGCAGGACTACGTGCGGACGGGCACCTACCAGCGCGCCATCCTGCAGAACCACACAGACTTCAAGGACAAGGTGAGCCGGGCCTCATGCATCCGCCCTGCCACCCTCCCTTCCCCCCCAGCTCCGTGCCCGTGTCACTGCTTTGGTTCTAATTTTTTTTTCCTTTGCTCATTGATTTTTGTCTTGAATATTTTTGGATTACAAAAGCAAAATCTATTTTTTGTAAAAGCCCAGTGTGGATAAGATAGGCTCAAAAGGCCTCTTTCATTTCCCTCCAAAACGACCACTGCCAACAGTAAAGGTCTCTTCCAAATTATTTCCCACGCGGGGGAGAGTGGAATATCTCCGTGGTAGAGCACACCTAGCACGCACAAGGTCCTGGGTTCAATCCCCAGCACCTCCATTAAAAAATAAGTAAATAAAAGCCTAATTACCTTCCCCCCAAGAAAGAATAAGAAACAAATTACTCTTCATGTGTATATCAGTATGTATATATTTTAGGGTTATTTCATATTTAATCTTTTTCTGAATATATATATACAAAATAGGACTGTATTCTGTATTCTCTTCCTGCAGAATACTTTCCCCCACATAATGTTATGTCTTAGGATGCACTTTTGTTACATGGATGGAGTGTAACCTGGTTACTTCTCCAATTTCTTTTAAAATTTTCTTACTATTACCAAGTAGCATTCAGTGACCCTTGAACAGCCTGGGTTTGAATCACACTGGTCCACTGATCCGCAGACTGTTCTCGGTAGATGCGTCCTACAGCGCTGCACAACCCACAGCTGGCGAATCTGTGGACGAGGACCCACGGGTATAGAGGGCCAGCTGTCCAGATGTATATGGGGATTTCCTATTGGGTAGGGAGTTGGTGTCCCTAGCCTCTGAGTTGTTCAAGGCTCAACTGTATACTCCCGGTTAAAAAGAGACCAAGCAGTCCAGAATTTATATATTCAGAGGTGAAAGTTTGTTCCCTGCTCTTCCTGTGGCCTAGGGTTTGTTTTCCCTTTTTAACCAAGTAGAAGCTTGTGGTTTTCTGGACATATTCTAGGGACTTTCCACGTGATCCACCTGGAATGCCTTGTCCAGTGCCTCGGTCACACCCCTGCAGCATTGCTGAGAATCCCCTCGGGTCACTGAGCCCCTGGGTGCAGGGCCTGAGCCCTGCAGCCTGGGAGGAGTCCTGCTCATGCCAGGCCATCCCTGTGCCCTGGCGGCTGGCGTGGGCCGTGCTGGGGCAGCACCTGTGGCCCAGGAAGCCCACGTTCCTTCAGCAAAGCCCCTTCGAGCTCTCCTGGGACACAGATCCATGTCCTGGTTCATCTGGAACTCTGAGAGGCACCCAAGACCCTCCCACCCGACAGCACCGGTGCCCCGCTGCCCCTGTGCCCGCCACTGCACCCCGAGCAGGTCTCCTTTAGCGCGGGCATGCCACTGCCAGAAACGCTTATCCTGATACCACTCCTGTGGAAACAACCAGACGAATCCAGAATGTGGGACCATCTACCACACAGTAGCCTGGACTCTTCAAGAGCCTGAGCCGTGGGCGCCAGCAGCCCTTGAGCGGGCAACTGGCTGGTCCCAGGGATTGCGCTGCTCACCTGGCCCAGCTGAGCCACTGGCTGCTTCCGCAGGTGGGGCTCAGCACGCAGTCGGGAGGTGCTGCCACCAGCCCCTTCCTCCCCATGAGGGCTGCAGAGGCCCTGGAAGGACACCTCTCAGCTCCGTGCTGGTGTCTGGGGAGGACCTCGGCCCAGCTGATCCAGAGGCCCATGGGCCGCAGTGTTGGGGCCGAGTAGGAGCTTTCCTTGGGGCTCCTCCAAGGTTGCAGGGATGCCCGACCTGGGGTCGGGGGCTGCTCACCTCCTGCCCGTTCTGTGGGCCTGGCCGGGTGGCCCTGCATCTCAGGAGTTGTGCTGTGGGACTCGGAGGTGTCCTTACCTCATGAACATGAGTTCCCACATGCTGCATAGACGGCCCCAACCTTTCCTTCTTGAATCAGATCTGAGAGTGTGTACTGGTCTTCACATCCTAGCTGTCCTTGGAAGTCCCCTTCTACCACCTTCCGATAGAAACCCTGCGGGGCACCCACATGCTCCAGGGGGCTCCCAGAGGGCAGCCTGTGGGCGGCTGGCCATGTCGAGGGGGAGCAGAGCCCAGAGCGTGCTCAGTGGGTGGGTCTTCAGTGAGTGAGTGCCCGTGACACGTGGGTCCATCATGACTGCCGCCACTTCACCCTCTTGTTCTCACCTCCCCTCCTCCCTCAGATCGTTCTTGATGTTGGCTGTGGCTCCGGGATCCTGTCGTTTTTCGCCGCCCAAGCTGGAGCAAGGAAGATCTACGCGGTGGAGGCCAGCACCATGGCCCAGCATGCCGAGGTCAGTGGCCCTCTGGGAACCCCGCCTGTCTTCGTCCCCCAGCTCTGGGCCTGCTCCAACCTGGGGAGGCCAGCCCTGTGGGGAGCCCCCTGGAGACCTGACCCCGGCATCCGGGGAGACTGGAGATGTCACTCTCTACTTTGGTCTCTCGTCCCCAAAACTGAGTGGTTTCAGGGGAGGGGCTTGTCAGGCCTAGGTGATCTCCCTTCCATGACTGGTGGTTGCCCGCCAGGCTCAGGGGCGGTTTGGGGTCTTCAGAGACTGAAAGCCTCATGCTTCAGGGGCTGTGTGCAGTCACAGCGAACAGGGTGGGATCTCGGCCCTGGGCAAGCAGGCGCGCAGCCCACCTCTCTGAGCCCCACTTGACAGGTAGATAACAACAGGATTTCATTTTGTTAGTTGATGCTTTTTTTTGCACCAAAGCCTTCATTCACAAAGTTTAAAACCTAAAATTACAAAGGGTAAAGCGTGAGGGTGCTTCCGTCCCCCACCCCTGGCTCCCAACTGCCTCGGCCATCCACCCCGCCAGCCCCTCCGTGAACGTACAGTCACCACCTTGCACCGTGACTTGCCCTTTTGTCTGGGATATACTGGTGTCATCTTGTAAAGAGCTTTCTCACCCTTTCTAGCTGCTACAGAGCATCCCTTTACCTGGACGGACTATTGCAGGCACAGGCTGCAATAGCCACTTAGGCTGCTTCTCAGTCTCTGCAGCACAAGTGAATGCTGCCCCAAAGGCCCCGTACACGTGTCCCCTCTCCTGTGCGCGATTACGTCTGTAGGGCACATTCCTAGCACTGGACTCACTGGGTTGGAAGGTGTGTCCAAGTTTGACTTTGGTGGCTGTAGCAAAGCCTACTTGTCCTCACCCCCATGGTGACATCAGGGGCTGGGGAGCCACAGGAGGGAAGACCCTGAGAGGGAGCTGGGGCCGCAGTGAGCTCCTAGCGGGCCGTGGCTGATCACGGCCATAGTTAGGATGCTGACAAAGGAGGTGGAGGGGAATTTGGTGGCCCAGTGTGGATGGAGGCCTGCCCCTGGGAGGACCCCCCCCATGACCCCAGTGGCTCGCTTGCCCCTAGGTCTTGGTGAAAAGTAACAACCTCACCGACCGCATCGTGGTCATCCCTGGGAAGGTGGAGGAGGTCTCGCTGCCTGAGCAGGTGGACATCATCATCTCGGAGCCCATGGGCTACATGCTCTTCAATGAGCGCATGCTCGAGAGCTACCTCCACGCCAAGAAGTACCTGAGGCCTGGAGGTGAGTGTCCCTGCCGGTGCACAGGCCACTGCCGCCTGGGCGGGGTTCCCTGGGCCTGGAGGCCACGGTGCGCCCACTGGGGCCCCTTTGGAGAGCCCCTGCCTGCCGCCCAGTGGGCACAGTTGGGATTCAGCTCCCGGAGCAGTGGCAGGCCTTCACCCCTGCTCCCCACCCAACCCGACCCCAGCTGGCTGGGCCCCAAACAAGGCCAGACATCCACCTGGCCAGCTTGCTCAGCCAGGGCATGGAAGGGTCCCCTCAGGCCTGCAGAGAGCCTTTGGGCTGCCTCTGCCGTTTAGTGCCCAGTGGGGGACAGTGTCCAGCTGGGATGTGGTCGGTGCAGGAGCTGACCTGTCATCTTCACTCCTAGCAGTGTAGATCTTGCCCTCAGCCTGAGAGGCCCCTGTGCTCCTCAGCCAGGGAGGCAGGGTGGGGCATCTTGTGCATTGGAGGGTGTCTGTGGCCTCCTGTCTGTGTCACTGTACTGCCAGTCTGTGCTTCTGGGTCACTGGGTCACTGTTTACACTTGCCCATCTGTGTCACTGGGGTCTGGTTCAAGAGGGCCTGGCCAGGTGACACCCGAAGGAGGGCAGGGAAGGGTCGGGCTGTGGGGAGACCGGCCTCGAGGTCTGCTCTGGGAGGTGTCCTGCATCCCAGGTGAGAGTGGGAAGCCAGGCTGCCCAGAGGGTTGTCTGAGACCTGCTTTCCTTCTGTTCTGCCCTGTTGGGGGGCCAGGCCAGCCAGGGTGGCAGCCCCAGCAGAGCGTGGGCTCCTCCTTATGGGACGGAAGGACAGACGGGAGTCGGGCTCCGGTGGGCAGCTGCTCGCTTGCCCCACTGGGCAGGCTGCCTGCACGGCTGCATCCTGGGGCTGACTATCCCCCCAGCCTGCGTGACTGTGGCTTCCTTCCATCTCAGGAAACTCTTTGGGGAGATTAAAGGGAACCCTCCCCCTAGCCCACGACTTGAGGTGCCTTCAGGGCTGGGGACACTTGCCTGGGTGCTCCAGGGGGCCTGCAGCTCCTCCTGGGCAGGCGGCCTGGCTTGTGGCCTCTGGCCCAGTGAGCACCTCCCTGCCCCCACCCCAGTGGCTGCAGCTGAAGGAAGGCTTGAAAAGGCAGATTCCTAGCGCCTCAGGGACCCCCCGCCTCGAATTAAAGGAGGGAGGGAGGGAGGCCCACATCTGGAGGCCAGGTGACTTGGGGCCCTAGCCTCCCCAGAGTAGGCGGGGCCTCCTGAGCCCAGGCTCTCCTTGCCGCTGGCTCTGACCCATCTGCCTGTTCCTTGAGTCGCATGGAGGGAGGACCCTGCCCTGCCCTCCTGCCTCCCAGCCGGCTGTCTACCCAGGTTTAGTGAGACTGTGCCCGTCAGGTGTTGCTGCCACAGGCAATGTAGGCGCTCCGTACCTGTGTTGCATGAATGAGTGAATGAATGAATGAGAGGCCGGGGAGGCTGAGAGTTGGGGTCCTGGGGCCCTTTAGAGGCTCTGCCAGGCCCTGCTGGATGTCCTACCCTGACCCAGCACCCCTCCCTGCCCCCACTCCCAGGAAACATGTTCCCCACCATTGGTGATGTCCACCTCGCACCCTTCACGGATGAACAGCTCTACATGGAGCAGTTCACCAAGGCCAACTTCTGGTGAGTGTGCCCCTGGGTGTCCTGCCTTCTCAGGGCTGGCCCCACCTCTCTCTCCTTCCTCATCCTCAGTAGGATCTGAAAGACTCGGGCTGGACGAGGGCCCGCTGGGTGAGAAGGCAGGCTGCCCCACCTGTCTCCTGCTGCTGCTGACCTTGCCCTGGGGGTGGGGGGGGGACTCTCTGCAGGTACCAGCCATCCTTCCATGGAGTGGACCTGTCAGCCCTCCGAGGTGCTGCGGTGGATGAGTATTTCCGGCAGCCTGTGGTGGTGAGTGGGGGCCCCAAGGGCACTACTGCAGTTAGCACTGGCCACGGCCCTCCCCTGGGGTGACAGGAGTGGGGCATGGGCTTTCCTGTCAGGCTTTATGCAAGCTGTGCAGCGATAGGGGAGCCACTGCCGCCCTCTGGTCTCTCTTGAGCTGCCCCTGCTCGGAGCTCTCACACAGGGATGCTGGGAATAAACTGGCAGTGCATGTAGAGTGCTAAGCACACGTTAAGCACGCAGTACTTATTTATATATATATAACCTGTGGACTGTTATTAGATGAACTGATCCTTGGTAAACTGATTTTATTTGATTGATTTTAATCATTGAGATTTTAGAACTGATGTATAGACCCTTGGTTCAAAAACCAAAAAAGGAGAAAAGTGAAAAGCATCCCCAGTTCTGTCTCCCGCTACACAGTTCTCTTTCCTGTAGGCAGACAGCCTTTGCTGTGTGCCTTTCTAGAAGCCTTATGCTTAAATGTGCATATACAAATATCTATGTATATTTTTTAAACTTTTCTCTCTCGAAGTAAGCATAATCAATATATTGTTCTGTCTCACCGTCTCTGTGCTCAGAGAACATACACTGCATGATTTCAGTCCTTTGAAATCTGTTGAGGGTTGCTTTATGCCCAGTATGTGGTTTATATTCCATGTGTGCTTGAGAAAAATGTATACTAATCACCTGAGTACACTGTTATGTTAATGTAACTTAGGTGACATTTATTTACCGTCTTCTCTGACTCTACTTTTTTTTTTCTGCTTTTCCTATAGCTGATTGTAGATTTATTTTTCCATTTAGTTCTGATAGTTTTTGCCTTGTATTTTTTGACATTGTTACCAGATGCGTACCGTTTTAGGATTATTTTTATATCTTCCTGTTGGATTGAGCCTTTTGTCCCTAGCAAAAGTGTCTATTTTTTATCTCTAGTAGTACTTCTTGCCTTAAAGTCTGTTTTTTTCTGATAACATTTTATCTACATTAGCTTTCTTTGGTTAATCTGTGTATGATGCATATTTTTCCATCCTTCTACTTTCAGCCATTTTATGACCTTATTACTTAAGGTTTATCTCATGTAAACAGCATATATTTGGGTTTTGTTTTTTAACCAGATTGACAGTTTTTTATCTTTTAATTAGGATATGTAGACCATTTATGTT